ATCATCGGTTTTTGTTTTTTCTGTCTTTGTCACTCTTTGATGCTTTTTTTCGGACTTGTACTTCTTTCTGATCTGCCTACCTTGTATGCTTGTGTGTTGTCTGCCGCCCTATATTCCTTGTGCCTTCCAGCCCTTTCTTTGATTTCTTTTTTTTTAACTTGTACTGTTTTCTGATCTGTCTACCTTGTATGCTTGTGTGTTGTCTACCACCCGATATTCCTTGTGCCTTCCAGCCCTTTCTTTGATTCTTTTTTTTTTAACTTGTGCTTTTTTCTGATCTGCCTACCTTGTATGCTGGTGTGTTCTCTGCCATCCTATATCCCTCGTGCCTTCCAGCCCCTGTTCATTTTTTGTTGCCTGCCATGTCTGTTACTTGTGTGTTGTCTGCCCCCTTCCTCCCCCGTGCCCTCCAGCCTGTGTGTTGCCTTGCTGTTTGTGGCCTGTGTGTGTCGTTGGTGTCTCTTCCTTGCCTTTAGACTCGACTCTGGTTCTGAAGCGTTGCAATGGTATGGTGCATGGTTTTTACCGTGCAGAGGTGTCCACAATGTGTTCACACACACACACACACACAGCAAATACCATGAATCTGTCTGGGGAGTGAGTCCCTCCCCTGGCCCATGGTAGTGGTGCTCTCTCTCTCTCTCTCTCTCCATGTGAGAGAGGGAAACCATAGAGCACATGCTGACTCCGAGCCAAAAGAAAGCATAGTGTGACTCCAGTGTCTTCACAATCCACCAGAGAGATTCAAAAAGCACCATTGATGACATGCCGACAGGCTGCCTCCCGCAGTCTTAATAGACGGCAGGTCACCCCGCAAATTCACAATCTTGCAGCCCTGTGCATCTCCACATGACCCATTTGCGAGGGGCCCGACCCCTGACAATGGAGCAGACACACATCTACACAGTATCAAGCAGTTAGTGCGATAAGACGCAACATCCGTAACTCGCGTGTTGACTGATCCATCAATAGTTATACAACACATTTCAATCACAGCAATAACATCAATTAGTGTCCTTTTCGATTGAAAAAGGAAAGAACAAAGGTTCTGCATCCAGCATAGAATGTCAAATCTGTCAACGTAGAATTTTGAACACCGAACATGGATTTGAACCAATGACCCAACACCTACAGTGCACAGCGTGTGCAATCTGACTACACTTCCCTTCAGCCAGGCGTGGAGGATTTCCAATCATATGGCTGTCCATCAGTTCGGCAAAACTACTGACTGTTTCTCTTTCATTCTGATGTACTCCAATACTTATCATAGATAGGGGTCGGGAGTTGTGTTTTCCCGCCCTCCGAACCGCACGTGATAGTTTCCCATCATAAAGCTCTCCGCCACGAATCATCTTCCATAATGTTCTTGATAAACTAGTAGGTTTATATAGGACCACACCCGTCTCAGCACATTGCAACTGTGGACGAAATTTCTTCAGCATGCTTCTTTTGAACTTAGTGCAATATTTAAGCTTCAAGGTCAATGCACAAGATTCCTTCAAAGTGAAGTATCACGACCATAATGATGATTGGTTGTCCACGAAAGAGTAGTAATTCAGGATTCCGAGTATTCTCTTATTGTAGAATCTTAATATGTCAGTATGATCCATGGGGACTATTCCACGTTTTGCCGTGGGTATAAAGTCTCCTTTCTAAAATATAGAAACTTTGATGCCACACTTCAAGCTGGCACAAGGAGAAAAGTAAAACTCAAAGGCGTTCCTAAATTTTATTGGTGGGGGTAAAATTGTGATTTAATTATCCAATTGTATTGACACTTCGAGGTTGTTACAAGCCTGCACAGGGCTTTGTACTAATGACATTCAAACCTCCACAAGGAACCAAAATTTTTTTTGAAAGAAGTACAACCCGCAACTAAATCACTACCATGGCCGTACTGTGGGCTAGCATCCCTACCCGCGTGCAAGGAGGATGGAGAAATGATGAGACTCATAGTGGAGTGTACTAGCATTGGGTTACCGTAGGAGCACCTTAGTCAGATGGTACCATCATCAGTAACCAGGGTTTATGATGTAGAGTCCTCGCTCGTAAGGGAAGTGGTATTGGTTGGTGTAACCAAAGTAGACGTATCAACATAGCATGAACACTCGGGATGGTTGCTATGTGAGTAGAAAACTATGTTGACACACGAACAATGAGGGTGACGGCAAAAAGATCGACCTGCCTCAGGGGAGGGCTGACAAAGGTACGAAGAAGGCTTCGACCACGCTCTGATAATCTGAAAGTGAAGTTGGCACTTCAAGGAAGATGTAACCATGACGAAGGAATGTTCATGGCCACTACAAGTACTAACAAGAAATGAAGCTTGATTCATAACAACAAATAATTAATATTAGCGTACATATTACAACACTTCACATCTATAAAAAAAGACTAAATCTCTACAAATGATTTTGTATTATGAACTCATCATTTTGATTCACATTTCGATTCAAGGTGACAAGAAAACAAGTACCACTACAATCCTCTCGGTGAGTGGGCTCCTTGGCCTACTGGTCCTGCTCTCATTGCCCTTCCTTGACAATCTCTTTCAGTACATACAGGGTATTGCATGTACCCATGTCATAAGTCCAGCAAATTAAAGTTAAAAAATTGAAAGTAGATGCAAAGTGAGTGGCTCGCCGCTTTCTTTCATCTCGTTAATGAAACAAGGGAGACCTGTTGTGTAAAGTCTCCGACAAACAACTTCTGAACTAATTGTCCAGAATTAGCCTCACGTGTAGCTAGTGATACAAACTGCCTTGCCTACTGCCTCAACTAGGTTATGGGTACATCATGCCCACATGTATAGGATATGGATACCCCGATAGTATAGAATTAGACTGGCAAGGACCGCTAGACAAGAAACTCGCATGCCAAATAATCTAAGAGAGAGGACGGCTGCAGTATTCCTATTCTTGTCACCTTCAAAATAAGAAGAACATGTTCACGAACAAGATTATCAGAATACATTAACATTCTTAACGGTGCAAGTGTTCCAATATGTGAACAAGGACAACTCACTATTTCAAACAAAAGGCAGGTTAGGAACAAAAGATTTTCAAACGAAGACAAAAACACACAACAACGGAGTTACGACAGGCCACCTTTACGCAAAAGCTAAATTGGTTAATCTCTCTTCCCAGTTAATCTTTTTATTCCTTGAATAAATTTAATCGAGTAAGTTGCAATTGCGAGTCGTCACGTTGCTTTGGAATGTACAAGTGAAATTCTTTCATAATATGAGAACAGTCAAAGGTCAGCACAAGGGTCATTTGGTTTTTGACTCTCCAAGCTCCAACCCTAAATCGCTGGAATCAAGCAAATCAACACACTAGGAATCGAACCCTGAAAAGCTGATTGGAAATCAGAACACATACCACAAGGCAAAGCCAGCTGGGATGAAAGTGAAGGGTGGTGGTGTTGAGATTGTGGGCGAATCTTTCCAATATAGGGTCTTCAAATCAAGTACTCGTTTCATGAACTCTGCTGATGATCAATACGGCAATGCTGTTTCACTGAGTCGAAGTGGTCTACCCATAAGCAATTAAACTGTCCATAATCGGGGAGGAGAACTTGGGAGGTATTGCACATTGCTTGGGAACAGGGTACGGAACTGAACATCAGGGCAAGTTTTTTCTTTTCTTTTTCAAGCACGACACAATCAGCCCCATCTATTATAGGGGGAGCAGGGATTTCTTTTCATAGCGCAGCAGAATCCACGCCATCTATTCGACGGGGGCATCAGTCCGATTGCTAATCATAACCAAGGAAACGTGAACAACGAGCGGGACCTGAAAAACGCACCAAACAACAAAAAGTATATACATAAAAAGGGCATGAGAGGAGTTGCATCCCCAGTTTCTTTTGCTTAGCGAGGAGATCAGTGGGGTGCAGTCCGGAAACTCCTCTATGGGGCCACTGGGCCCACCAGCTTCAACTTCAATTGCACTGTTGACCCTCGACCGGATTAGCCAGGGCCAGTACTCATACGAGAAAAGTGAACAGTACCGGCCCATCAGACTGGTGGCCCAGCTTGTCAGAAGTGAAAAAAAAAAACACAAAAGACAACGACGAACGTGTCTTCTTTGAGCTCCACTGGACTGGTGACAGTGAAAGTGCATAGGTGGCGATTGACAGCAACACCTTGTGACAACACCTGAATTGCACATATGGTGCAAACCGGCTTAAAAGTAGGCAGTACATCACACAAGCAGTGCCAAAGTCGTTTCTCAGGAACATGAGCCACACATCAGCGGAGGGGAGGAAGCTGATCTTTTACTCACAAAGAGAAGAGCAGAATCAGGGGGGGGGGGGGGGGAGAGAGAGAGAGAGAGAACACCCAACCAACAGCAGAGGGGAGGAAGCTGACCTTACCCAGAGAGAGAGAGAGAGAAAGAGAGTGACCTTACTCACAGAGAGAGAGAGAGAGAGAGAGAGAGAGAGAGAGAGATGGGGCAGACATCAACTCAACCTGGTGCAGGGGGCCTGGATTTGTTCAGAGAGCGAAACCTGCACACTCAACTTTGACAGAGCTGATGCGCTGGACGGCGGAGAGCACTGAGAGAGAAAATGTGGGACTGTCGCTTTCTAAACAACGTACAAAACGAATTGCCACCAGTCCCAGCACTCACCTATAGTTTTTGTTTGTGCACCTTATGGACACAATGCCTCTACAAATCTCGACCTAGAAGAGGAAACTCCAGTAGGAGGGTGATTTGTAGAGCTGCCACCACTCCCCCCGATGCAAAAATCTCCTACTGGTAGTGCCATTTCATGAGGGGTACCAGTTGCATAAAGGAAAACCGAGGGAATGACAAAACTCGAATTTGCATTAAAAAAAATTGGATATACAATCGGCACGGCAATCATTCCACGGTCAAAATGATTTCATATAGCGTGCCAAGCACTTTGATGGCATGCCAAGCATGAAGCCCAAAGCACAGAGCAGAATAATTTGATCCATCAGGATAAAAGGATACATGCAGTGTGGGCAAACAAACGGTAAGTTCAAGACGCACTTCCATTTCCACAGATTGAGCCAAACTGTCTGATTAGGCAGGACTTCCTTCGACAAACCGTGCAACATGGCAAGCATTCTGAAATGTCAAATCCAGGAGTTAGGCCCAACTTCATGGATTCTTCATCTCTGACCGTGGAATAAATATCAATAGCCAGCCAGATGTTAAGACTATAGGCACCTGCTACCTTGTCACCGGCCCTTCATAATCATCTGCAGACTGGACTTCAAAAGGTTTCATGACGGAGAACTTCACAGGTCAAACCACCAGTACTTCCTGAAGTCATGCCCATTAATGAGCCTCGGTTTTAGGAAACGTAAGTGCAACTACAGAAGTGCCCAAATTCATCCGACTAGAAACATTTCTACTCTCACTTTCCATGGCCCATAGCTGGGCCAAGTACTGGTGGTTTAAGACGACGGAGCCCGATCATGGTTATACGCTCGGGTCAATTCAACCATTAGTTTCCTAATCCATAACTATATCTTCAACAAAGACAGAATGGTTGCTGGACACACAGCCTCTGAGGATCCTACTCGTTGTCATCAACGATTCTAAATATTCAACGTCAGGACAATCGAATGACAACTTCGGTTTCCCGCTGATGGCCCCGAAAATCTTGGAGTGTTCCTCAGTGTGAGAATTCAGAGGGCCAAGATTCATAGGGGTTCCCAGCAAATAGCCCAGTGTCACCAGCAAAGTTGTGATTTTTGCTGACACAGGCCAAAGCTGCAAAAGTGGATATTGTTTCCAAGCCCATGATAGCACTGCGCTCCTCTATTATGCATCTCCAAGTACATCCCTTGTTTCTGTGCCTTGTTCCTGAGAACATCGTTACCTTAACTCGTTGCTGCTCCGTCTTTCAGTCTGTTGTACAATTCCTTTTGGTCACTGTTTGGTCGACAGCGACCAGACCAAACGGACGAACAAGCAAAACAGGCAACACATTGCCCCAAATCTTCGAAGAATCCCCATCATTACTCATCCTTCCCTCGACTAAACAAAAACATCGCCGCTCCACAGGCAGAGTCTGCAATGCAGAATCCAATTTTTGAAAGTCCTGCTCAACCACAACATTCTCATGCGGTGAATTCAACGTACAACAGAAACAACAAAAACGTTAGTGAAGCTTACACTTGTTCGTTCAATAGCTCGTCAGGAGCCCGCCAGTCTTCCCTCTACCTTTCTGCTCAAATTCAGAGAGTCACAAAAGACCATACTTCACCTTCAGTGCCAATACGCCAATCACACATCGTTCACAAAGAAATCCCTTCACCAGCAACACAATGTTGCCTTGGGTACAATTAAGCAGCGATCATTGTCAGTGGGGCAACCCAGATATCCGCAGGGCTATCCAGAGCACTTCTTCGTCAAGAAATTCTGAGAAAACAAAAGACGGAAAAAAAGGGAGAAGCTAAAATTGAAAAACAAAGAAAGCTGAAAGAAAAAGGTGGCCCCTGCTAAGCATCAATGGCTCTCAGACAGACTTCCTCCCCAACCTCGATCAAAACGATGAAGGCCATTGCTGAGTATTTTCACATAGACACAGCCTGCCCGGGGTTTTAACTTGCCATCAGATCGAAAACAAGTTCTATGGTCGCTGTGTTATCCTGACCGCAGCAAAGGCTCAACTGCTGGCTGGCTGGCAACAATCTTCTCGATTCCAGACCTTTCTTTTAACAAAGTCTAAATTACCTACACCAATCGCTGAGTGCTACTTTCATTTCCTCGAGCACCCCACTAACATAGATCGCAGCAAAAAAGAAAAACATCACCCACCCACACCAACCCACCACCCAAGTGCTGCATCGATTTTCTCAAGGGCCTACCACTAATATGTTGATTGCAGCAACGAAGTTCGCCGTTTCGCTACAAGATGGAGGAGTAGGGATCCTTGGATCACACACACCTCCACAAGAAACCTTTCTAAGTCCTCAAAACAGACTACATGACAAATTCTAACGGGAACCACATGTTCCTGAGAGAATTACCTCTGCTCTCCTTATTGTCAGGTGTTTGTTCACAGCTATACTACCTCCAAAGCCAGATTAGATCATTATACATCCAGAAGACGACACACACTGACCAAGGCCGCACTGCCACATTAACAGCTGAGAGTAACACCCTTGTTCTGCACGCAGACAGCAGGACATTAACAATGGAACGGACAAAAAAAAAAAAAACTACTCCGCCATGTTGCAATCCTGTGTAGGCAAGAGTCGAACAAGACCGCTGAGAGCAAAAGGAGAACTCATCCAACATCAGGTCAGACCACACAATTCTCCAAATAGCATGAGCAAGGGGAAAAAACCTGCTCCATGTGCAGTAGTGACGAAACTCCAGAGAGATGAGATACCTGCCTAACAAAGAAAGACCTGACATCGTTGAGCTCCTGCCCTACACAGCAGCAGTGGGAATCAACTTCTCTCCTCCCTCCCCTCCCATTCCTCGACTATACAACTGCTGCCCTGCAACCCCTTTTCATGATCCCTGATCCTCGCCCTACCCTTGTGAACTGGTTGCAGAGACCCACTACCAGCAGAGAGAACACCAGATCTGTAAAGAAAAGAATGAGCAATTCAATTCGTCGAACCAACATGTATCGTGCCCCTATGTAGATGGAGCCTCTACCACGGACGACACAGAAGGAGCTGGTGTTGCATCTGCATGGCTTTTCTTTGGCGGGTTCCCTCCAGCCAGGAGTATGTATGCATAGAAAACAGCCATCCCCAAGCTGCACCACAAACAACATCATCCATTTCACCCAAAAGAAACATATCGTGAGTTCACAATTTAGCACACAAAAATCAGGACTCAATTCAGCACTTAGCACAATGTCGGCAATGAGCGCAAACAAATTAAGATTGAATATATGATGTGAACGAAAGACTTACTGATCAGCCCACACATCTAGAGCTCAAGTACTCAAATCACAGGAAGGGAACCGGGTAGATCACATTCCGTATGTAAGTTATTTCGTGCTGTGTGCTTAGTGCTAGGCTCGCTGGACCTTCGGGTGCATTGCACTTCTGTTATACGGGGACAATTAAACTCCACACGATAAACTCACTTCTCCGTGACACCTGAAATGCTAGCACAGCATCAGCATTTGAAGACACCAGGCGCACAAACCAATGAAAGAGCACACAGACAAATCCATCTGTCTTCACCATGCCAACCACCACCCCAGCACAGATATCCTCTCTTCTGCACAGAGCTTTATCAATCACAAGACACCTCTCAAACAGTTCCCAGGATGTCAAACAGCTCAGCCATGCGCTATGCTTGTTTAACAAACCTGTTGCTTCAACATCAAGACAGGGTCTCACACATGCACCTTCACAACAGGGGCACAAATCGGGACAAACACACATGCAAGATTATGATATTAGAGAACAGAAATGAAGGGGGTCAATGAGCGATCTCCTTGCCACGAGGTTGCAGGTCAGGAGGGCCTCTTGCCACACTGACCCTCTTGTCCCTGAGCCTCCTCCGACATTCTGTCTAAATTTGGGTTTCCATTACTGCATTCCAGTGCCCCGCAATAACTAGACGAGCTAGGGTGACACAAGCAGGAAGCAAAACTTTACCTGCATGCTAGTATTCTCTACCACATAACTCTCACAATTTATACATTTTCCACAGCAGGGTAAGAATTCAGCGCAAGCACACTCACCTGAAAAGTGCAGTGAAAAACGTCGGGAAATATATATATGTATAAGAAGAAGAAGAAGAAGAAGAAGAAGAAAAAGAAGAAGAGGAAGAAGAAGAGGAGGAAGAAGAGGAGGAGGAAAAAGAGGAGGAAAAAGAGGAAGAAGAGGAAGAGGAGGAAGAGGAGGAAGAGGAGGAAGAAGAGGAAGAAGAGGGAAAAAAGACGAGGAAGAAGAGGACGAAGAAGAAGAAGAAGAAGAAGAAGAAGAAGAAGAAGAAGAAGAAGAGGAGGACGAAGAGGACGAAGCAGGGTAAGAATTCAGCGCAAGCACACTCACCTGAAAAGCGCAGTGAAAAACGTCGGGAAAACCGCCCGTGTCTGAGACATTTGCAACAGTACACAAACACAAGTAGCAGCAATCAGAACAAATGCAACAGGACACAAACAAAGGTAACAGCAATCAGAACAAAAGCAACACTCCAGTCTAACAAATAAAGCAGAAAGTGCTTCACCGCCTGTCAGCTCCAGGTTTTTGTGACAAATCGGAGAACCCTAAACCCAACTTTTATTTCCAAGATCCGCAGAGAATGTCACGTATCTCCGGACTTCTCAGCGGTCTCACCAATTAATTACGTATCTCTGGACTTCTCCGCCGTCTCGCCAATTACTATCACATAGCAGACTCCGACATTACACAGGCAAGAGAAGCAGGCCACAATCTGGCTCACAGACAAACAATACACTGCCTGTCAACTGCTGCTCAGCACTCTGCCGCGGTCCTTACATGTAGCACCTCTAACAATGTTGGCTCGCCAAGTACGTACATATGCTAGAGTTGTTCTCTCTTCATCGAGATATCAAGCCGTAGGAAGTCCTGAAACAATATCATTCATTCAATCAAAACATCCGTTTGTGGATCACAAACCCAAAGGAGTGAAACTTAAACCCCACGTACTCCGAGCCAGGGGAGGGCAAGAGAGATGCAAGTGCCTACGTACCACAGCGAACCTCCGCCATTCTGTGATCGCAATCGCCAGAGAGATTACTGCATCAAACATTCCCACCATATTTCGCAATTCATTAGTGACAGAGGAAAAGAAACCATCATCACCCTACCTTCATCTGATTGCCTTGTATCTCGACCAAAAACAAATCGAGTAACAAAAATGCAAATCAATTAATATGATAAAAAAGAGATACATGAAGCAGGCAAACATGAGAAGAAAGCGACAGATTCTCAGCTCATTAAGGAAAAGAAATGAACAGCTGTGATATACTGATGCTGTGTCATCGGACATCCACATTGGAATAAAATAATATCGTAAACATTACAATATATTACAATATAGGGCCAATGGAGAAGGAAGATGGTTGAAGAACGGAAGATCATGTGCTGATATTGTGTACATATTCTTAGTTCTCTGAATCACATCCATTTGATCACTCAAACACGTCACCCAGGAGTAAACTTTACCTTGACTAGTTGCTATGAACGGAGTGCTGGACCTTGCTGCCTTCCATGCCCGCAGGCTTAAGATGCTAGAGGCAAGGAGAATCCCTCCTAGTCCAACACCAAACCTCAACGCATTTGTGCTGCCAACAACTATGAACCAAAAAATGCCTCCCGCGACCAGCACCGTCCCTGAGATCACGAAAATCCGAGACAAAAAAAGCCAAGCTCAGAACAAAAAAATTATCAAGTGAACCAAAAAATGTCCCTCCCACGACCAGCACCGTCCCTGAGATCACAAAAATCCGAGACAAAAAAAGCCAAGCTCAGAGACAAAAGAAGTGTCAAGCTCAGAGCCCAGCTCAGAGCTACCCAACAACTCGGAGCTACCCAACAATGGAAATGCAGCCATAATTTCAAGAATGGCTAAAAAAACAGAGATTCGAATTTGCACAACGAATATAGCTTTCACTGTAATTCAAAAACACAATCGAAAAACAGCGATGTCCCAATATCCACCCAATATCACACCGATCTATAACACGAGTTTTTTATCACTTAATTCTCCAACCATGAACTGGTCTTCGATACAAATCTTCCACCACGTTGAACCTCCAGGGATACAAAATCATCACGTCGTTGGCAAACCAAACCACACATTTCCTTTCAAACCGACGGTCATGCTCTGCTACTTCCCACAATGACAGATCTAACATAACACTGATAACAGACATCGGCATTAATAAAATCCTCCAGTTACTACCATACCGATTTCTCACATATCAGACACTATTTAAGGGTTAAATGAAGAGGCATCTTTACGCACCACCCACCCTGCCAACTTCCATGGCTACTGATTTCCCCCAGTACCCTCTTCCACTCCCTTTCTGGTCGTCTCTCCTGCTTTCACAATGGATCATTTATGTGTGACTCCGAAAAATGAGAGAAATGGTGGCAGCTGTTATGGCCGCGGTTTGACAATCTACGAGCGTGTAGTCAAGGGTTTTTGTAGGGCCGCAAATGTAAGAGCACGACTGTTGCTCATTAGTCAAAGACAACGTATATTACCCGCATTCAACTAACAAAGTACTCCACATGTAAATGAGGGCATAAGAAATAACAAACGAACTACTCAGTCCCGAAAGACAATGACAGCATGCCGCCATACTCAACGCAATTCCATCAGATGTGAACCGAACAGCAGCTATCTTTCCACTTCGCTGCCGCACCAACTACACCAACGCCAGGGAGGAGAGAAGAAAAAAATACTGAAAACTTTGACCAATGGCAGAAACAAGGCAACTGGAGTACGAGTGAACAACGAACAGAGAGAGAGAGAGAAAGAGAAAGAGAAAGAGAGAGAGAGAGAGAAAGAGAGAAATGAGAGAGAAAGAGGGGAAGGCAAAGAGGGGAAAGGAAGAAACTGGTTACTCACCATAGGGAATGCCCAAGCAAAAGTCATGGATGGCAGCTCCACTCTTAGATCGTTCGCTAGAGTGAGCGGTTACCGCAACCTCGGCAATCTCCTTGATTGGCTGAGGAGTGGACTCCACAACCTGAGCTAGTCCCTCTTTGCCCTGCTCAGCAACTACCTTGGCTGTCGAAACGATCACCTCTTTCGCCTTCTCCGCTTGCCTCTTCATCTCTTCCGTTGATTGCGCGATTACCAGCCTCGTTCTTTCGGCAGTTTCCTCATAATGAGGCTTGAGCTCGACTGCTTTCTCTCTGATGTACTCCTGTGTCTTCGCAGCTCCCTCCTTGACCTTCACGACGGCTTCGTTCCATAGCTGACGAGAAGTGTCGATGACGCCGCCCTCTGCTTCTAGGTCGCTCTTGAGATCCACATCCTCCACGAGTTTCTCACCCGTGGCCTGCCATAAGCGCAAGCCAGAGTCAAGAACGGCTCTGACGAAGCTAGTGGCAAGAACAAATTGAAAGAGAGAAGATAGATTGGACCGGCCAGCATCCATCAGCCTCGAAATGCCACCCAGAGGGTTGGTAGCCAGGCTGGTGAAACGCTGAATGACGTTTGCATGGACGACGAAGAAACCGTCGTGGTGCGACGCACGCGAGTACCACACAGATACAGGAGGAAGAGGGAAAGAGAATGGAAAGCAGAGAGCCAGCCAGACACAGACAAGGTGTCAGACAGAATAGCAGGGAGCCTGACAGCAGACAGAGCCACGGGCATCAAAGCGGAGACAGAAGGAACAGATACAGGAGGAAGAGTGAAAGAG